CTCTCTAGGACCAGAGTGGGAGACCCCTGCTCTAACATATCTTTAGCATGTCTTGGGTGCAATTACTTTATGCTGTCAGCAGATGGCAGTGCAGAGCCACACAAAGCATAAGCACGTGAGGAAGACACTGAGAGTGAAAGGTACTTATTTACAATAACTCCTTTCATGATTGAACACAGGTTTCCTCATTCTGCTTAGCCAATGAAAAACCTAATTTCTCTATTTGTTTTTACCTGAACAGGCAGGCACTCTAAGCAGAAGCTGGGCTAAAATAACTGCAATTAACAGGCAGGATTCAGCTCTGCTGTTTCAGAGCAGTCAGTTATGCAGGAAGTCAGTGTGCAAGAAGCCATGCAGGAAGCAGCATGTCTATACCACAAGCTGCCAAACACACAGATAGAGAGAAACAGGATGTGATGCAACTACATACAGCAAAACCCTACCTGACTGTAAAAGTACACAGCAAATGTGCCAGTGTTAAATTAACACTGCATGGTGTTTATATGTGTCCACACCATTCAGTGTTACCTTTAACACTTTACAGTGTACAGTGAGTGTTGTTTTTACAGTGTTAATGTTTAACTCTTATAGTGTTCAATTTACAAACTAGTGTTAGGATAACCTCTTCCCAGATTGCAAGCCCATATGGGTGGCACACAAGTACAAAATGGGTGGCCGATATCTGCCATATTTTAATGTACTCTCATTTTAACTCATTTGGGCATTCAGCTGCTGTGTTTTACTATGGTTTACTGTGGTTTACATTAAGCTTAATTTTTGGAAACCCCCCACGATCGAGGATAGTATGGCACTGATCTTAGTCTTTACCACATTTCGTTATTTGTTTTTCTGGGTTGCGTGTGTTGGTATACGCTAATTGGTCTGAGCAGTGTAGTATAGCTTTTCCTGGTCAGCTAATACCTGTTCTAGTTAAGGTATAGAGGCTAGACCATCCCACCCGGTCCCTGGCTGGCATGCAAGAGCCATTTCTGTGGTTTTTGTTCTCTTGCCTTATTCATCACTATTGCGGTGGGTTAAAAAAAAAAAAAAATCTGTTATGTCAAAAACAGTACTGTGTCATGCTATGCAAATATACATCCAGCATCATTGGTCTACAGCAGAGTGGGTGGTACCAGGAGCTGCACAGGAAAGGGTATCACACCTATCCTACCACCTTTCCACATATGTTAATCATCCAAGGGCAGGACCGGCAGTCAAACATACCCCCACACCATTAAAATACATACCACTCTGGAGACCTGCCCTGTACAACTCCAAGCATTATTCCTCTGACTGTATAGCAATACGCTATAAGACCACAGCTCTCTATTCTTCAAGATCAATCAGAACTGAGCCAATAAAACTTTAATATAAAACAAGAAAAAGCTGAAAGGTCATGTTTGGTCAGAGTCTTTCTCATGATGGTGGGTAAATCTGGGCTGGCTCTTCTGACCCTCATGACATCTTGTGCGCATATTAAAATGGGGCAGATATGTGGAGGTGGAGACTCATTGACTTAACACCTTATGGTGTAAATTGAACACTATAAGAGTTAATAAACATTAACATTGTAAAAACAACACTCACTGCAAAGTGTTAAAGGTAACATTGAATGGTGTGGACACATATAGACACCATGCAGTGTTAATTTAACACTGGTACATTTGCTGTGTAGACATCAGTGTAGCTGAAGCCCCAGTTACAGTATCTCTGATCACCAGCCTACGTGCTTCAGAGAGATAGACAGAGCACAGCTGGGAGGTCCAGACAGCAGAGCAGAAAAGCCAGTGTGGTAACTGACTCACCATCCATGCTTTCCTATATACTGATGTCAGAAGCTGCTTTATGTCAAGCGCTTACAACTGCAAATGAATAAACGTCTCACATTAGCAAAAATCTAGTAATAATTGTGGTGAGTTTCACGTTTGTCACAATTCTTTGCAAATTGTTCGGTAGGTAATGTGTTAAAAAAAAACGTACAATTTACAATAAAACAATGTATAATTTACAGATTAATGTGAGCAGACTAGGTATATTTATACAAAAATACTGGTGTGTAATAAAATATGTAGTGTAACAGTGCAAATATCAACTGCAAAAAGGAAAGTGAAAGTACGAAATAAATAACTTAGATTAAAAAGGTAAATGTTCATCCCCTGATCATTTCTTTTCTATGTTTTATTTCTGAATGAAATAAAATAGAATCATGTCAATTTCAATTTTTATTTGTCAAATATATTGTTATACTCAGTACAATGTGTAGTGAAATGCTTGGTTTAACAGGACACCGATATAAATGATAAAAAAGACAAAATCATCAATATAAAGTATAAAAAAAGATAAAATGATTAATATCCACACATAATGTACAGTAACTGACCACTTACCCCCTCAGGTCTCCTGATATGGGTGGAGCTGAAGTGTCTGCAGCTGATCTCCAGCCCTCAGTTTATATCGTAGTGCCAGAGCTGCTAACCGGTTCCTCCAGTTTAAGTCACATTTCCCAGCATGCCAAGCAACATGCCCCTTTTTTAAAATGTAAATAGTCCCCAGAGCGAAGGTGTTTCGTACAGTAGAGACAGAATTCATTGCATGCTGATTGTATTCATTCATATGAATGATTTCCCCCTTCTTATGAAAGCTGGCATAAATGTCAACTACCAGCAGCTATTTCCAGACGGTATTCTGTCTGTAATTTGGACTAAAATTATTTTTGGTGATAAATGTTCAAAGCGTTTAATATCATGAATCAAACGTTTCATGCTACAGTGGTATGCAAAAGTTTGGGCACGCCTCAATAAATAACATATTTTGGTCATTTTTTAATTGAAAAGATGTAAACACAGTCTCTGTAGGAAATGGAAACAGTGATGTTGGAACAGGAACTGACCATCCCCAAACTGTTCCAACATCACTGTTCTTGAGCTAATCTGAAGGTCACACAAAGTTTGGACTCTGCAGTTGGCAACTTCTGCACCCTGTGCACCTCAGCATGTGTTGTCCCCGCTCTGTGATTTTTCATGGCCTTCCACTTCGTGGCTGAGTTGCTGTTGTTCCCAATTGCTTCCACTTTGTTATAATACCACTAACAGTTGACCGTGGAATATTTATTAGTGAGGAAATTTCTGAAATGAACTTATTGCACAGGTGGCATCCTATCATGGTACCACAGTTGAATTCACTGAGCTCCTGAGAGTGACCAATTATTTCGCAAATGTTTGTAGAAGCAATCTGCATGCCTAGGTGCTTGATTTTATACACCTGTGGCTATGGAAGTGATTGGAACACCTGAATTCAATTATTTGGAGGGGTGTCCCAATACTTTTTGCAGAATCTGTGTTTGTTTACAAGATAAATTAGCAATTTGACACATTGCTTGTCATTAATGAGGAGTAGTTTTAATAGTTTTATATCAGCTTATTATCTAGTACAGCAATGT